TGCTGTGTACCTGTTTAGTGTATTTTCGAATCGGATAGGAAGGATATGGGGATGTGTGATTAGTGTTTGGTATATTAAATTTAAAGAATTTGAAATTGTCATATGAATTTCTTCATTATCATGATCTTGTAAACTTTGTAAAAGTTTCGTAAGATCATCCGATTGCATATTTAATGCACGACCAACAAGACGAGCTATGGATACTCGTATATTTGAATTTTTATGAAGTAAACATTGAATACATAAAGGTAAAGATTGTTGAATAAATATTGAAAGAAAATTAAATGTTGATAATGACAGAAAATTGATCGCTTGTTCAAGTTTTTCATGTAACATTTGAATGAGTTCATGAGTATAGATGCCAAATAATTCGTTTGGAGTTGATAGTTGAAAATAAAATGACGATTGTTCTTCATTGGATAGGATATTATTAACTTTTACTTCTTCATTTAAATTATCACTTGTTAAAAATGTCAATGTTAATAATTGTTTGAACCAATATTCAATCAAAATTTGTTGTTTTGAACGAAGAACAAAATTAAATAAACGTAACATTTCTTTATAATCAATTGAAAGTAATATTGTCGATTGTATAATTCGTTGCATATCAATTGTGTCAATGATTATTTTTTTCGTATCGATTTGATTAATGAAATGAAGAATAATCGATACTGTACAAGACAATAAACGACGACAAAACATTGAATTCCATACAGATTGATTCGAATGTTTTGCTGAAAATATTATATGAAGTACATTAATGATCGATTTGATTGTGATTGAAATATCGATATTTGTTAAACGTGGTTTTTGTTTCGATTGTAAATCAAATATTTTTTCTAAGAGTAAGAGAAATTCTAATAATAATAATGGATTTTTATCTTGATTTAATTTAATTAATGAAAGTAAATGATTAAAACTTGTATTAATATGCCATTGATCAAATGCATATTGACGAGAATCTTTTAATAATTCATGAATATTTTCTTGTAATCGATTTAATCGAAATTGTTGATCGATAATTTCTAGTAAAACTTTAATCCAATCTTTTTCACAATTTTTAATAATAAATTTTAATATTTCAAATGTGTGTTCACTTTTCAATTGAAATAATCGTGTAAATAATGATGTTTGAATTTGTCGAGAAAATTCAATAAAATTATGATTTGTTTTTAATATTAATGTTGTCAAACGAATAAGATTAATATTGATAATATCGACAAAAAATTGAAACCATACTTGATGATGACCTAATGAATCAATGTTTGATGATGAAATTTCACTTAATTTCATAGCTAAAGATGTTAATAATAAACAAAGATCATCGATAGACCAATTCAATGAAGATTCTAAACATCCATTCAAGAGAATTTCATTAATTAGAAAATTTTCATTGTTGATCATCGATTGAAAAAGATTTTTAATAATGACACATGAAATTAATGGTGGTAGATCGGTGTCTGTTGATATAGATAAATCTTTCACGAATATTGTCACAAATTTTATACCGGTCTGTCGTATTTGTTCGTCATCATGATTTAAAAAGTAAAGAAAAAAATCTTTCATATCAGTTTGTGCTAATTCATAATTTGATTCGGATGTTTCCAAATGTTTTGTAAATATCTGATGAATTGTATGTAATAATAAATTCCAAAGACCTTTTGCATCAGTATCGCTATCATCTTGCTGTTGAACATATGCATACTGTAATAGTTTTGATAGGGGTGATAAAAATGATGGTCGTGAATGGATAGTATTACTTGAATAGATAAATTCTTTACCATCTGTCCATTTAATTTTACATTCACTTTGAATAAATTTGAAATCACGATTGTTTACATTCGGCAGATAATCGAATTGATTTATCATTTGGTTTTTTATCGATTCTAATTGTGTTTGAGCTTGTAAATTATTTTTATCGGTAATTTGTACGTCAATTATTCGTTGACGTTGTACAGCAAATGATAACATCAATGATAGACATTGATCAGCATTTAAAAATGTTTGTAGAATAAATTGACAACGAAATAATTGATTTAAAATATTTTGTAGAGTGATTAATTCATCAGCATTTGTGTGTTGATGTTGTCTTGCTTTTTCAATGAATAAATCAAATTGATTTGTAATATCAATAGGATATTTGGTATTGTCACATAATATATTGCATATTTGTGAATCGGGTGCAAATGGAAATGGTTTTTCCGATTGATAACGCATCTTATTTGTTGTAGGATTCTGGCCGATTAGTTTTCCGAGCCACATTTTTGTTGTCCATTTATCGATTGTTGTAATGACTGATTTTGGTGGATAGAGATTTGTACGTGAAATAATCACAGCAATTGAAAATCGATGATTTTCATGTTTTGATACTGAAGGATGTGATAATAATAAATCAAACAGTTGAAAAAAATGTAATGCAAATATGTCGTGAGTCGAATAGAATCGATAACATGGAATAATCAATGTGACGACGATTAAAGAGATAAGCGATGCATCATCATCAGTATCACCACCTTGCTGTACTTTATCTTTTAAATATCTGAATGATCGAATAATGTTCGATTCATCATCCATTAATGACTGAGAAAAATTGCGAAGACATTCCAATGATTTTCGAATTAGTGAAGGATTTGTATCATTCAATAATTGAACAAATAAAGGACTGAGATCTCGGACGATAGGAGCTGCAGCCAAAGGAGCGCTCGTCTTGGTCATAGAGTCCATAGCCTGTGCCATGTTTGAAACTCCAACTAGACCGATAAATCAGAAAACATGTATGCAAGATTTATATCTAGAAAAAACCTGGATCAATACACATCACTGTGGATTATGGATGTAGTTTCAAGAATGATAAGTCTCTTATTATAGTTAAGCCAATCAGAGCTAGGATGTGGAGAGCCCTATGTTTCTTGTCAACTGACACTTTTGTCGAAAAGCATTTGGTCGACAAATTTTTATTCAGAGAATATTTCATCAAAATTTAATAATTTTCTTCTTCTCATATTTCTCACCGTCTAGACAAAATTTCAAAGGTGTGTCCTAATTAACTTTGTTTGTTTGATGACGATAGGGCAATGTCAGATCATCGGGTGTGTGGTGTGGGTGTGCGAGCAGAGAAGAATGAGACCCACATCACACACCCACTCTCACTCTCGTCCCCACCCCCACAACCATCTGTGCTTCATCTGAGTTTATTGATGAAGTGCTTCGTCGATTAAATGTTCTTTCGACAAACATTTATTGATTAACGACATAGATGCCGATGTGGGTGTGGGCTGTAGATATGATTGAGAATCTTTCCTTCATCAGATTCAGACAAGCCTTCACATACTCGCACTCTTGGAACCTCAACGTGGACTTGTTGTGCATGTAAGAGTACGTTTCACGATGAACTCTGTGAAAAACACGTATTTAATCATTATCCTAAAAACCTGTGTAAAGCCATCACCTTCAAGGAGTGGGAAATTCTAAAACGTTCTGTAAGCGCCTATGGGAGGGAGGACATAATGTGTCAGAAATGTGATCTCCTCACTTTTTCGATTCTGAATCGAAATATTTCAAAAAGACTTATAATGGTATCATACCAAAAAAAAAATATTGAGAAACTCACGCAAAGCGGTCGTTTTCACAAAGAAAGCTGACTATGGAATTTCAAACTGGACGTTTTCGAATTATATTTCTAATGGATTTTGGTATTCTTCATGGTCACTGTTGAATAGTTGAGCGAGATGCTGCGACCAAGCGAAGAAAACATAACCGAAGTAAATATATTACCGGCAGTGGCCAAGTTCCCAGGAGTCGGGAACTCTTTGGGAATTGGGAACTCAAAAAATCAATTAACAAGAACGAGCGCTGAGAAGCTAAAACACGTCAACGATATCAGGGATTCTACGATATAAGGGAACTCAGGGAAGTCAAGGATATCAGGGAGCTTTGGGATATCAGGGAACTCTGGGAATTCTGGGATGTCAGGAAAGTCAGAGAATTCTGGGATATCGAGGAATTCAGGGAACTCAGGGAACGCTGGGAAGTCAGAGAATACAGGGAACTCTGGGAACTCTGGGAAGTCAGGGAATTCAGGGAACTCTGGGATGTCAGGGAAATCAGGGAACTCAGGGAACTCTGGGAAGTCAGGGATCTCAGGGAACTCTGGGAAGTCAGGGATCTCAGGGAACTCTGGGAAGCCAGGAAATTCTAGGATATCAGGAAATTGTAGATTAATCGGGAGCTAGGATTATCTAGATAGATTTATATGTTTGCTTAGCTATTACTGTAATGATGCGATAACTGTTTAGGGTGTGGGTGTGGGTGTGGGTGTGTGTGGGTGTGGGTGTGGGTGTGTGTGGGTGTGGGTATGTGCGGATGTGCGTGTGAATGTTGATCTATCGCATAGTTTTACCCAACACCCACGCCCCACACCCTCCCATAGTTCCCTAAGTGGTCAGAGTTCCCTGAGTTCGATCAAAAAAGTGAGCTCCTCACGTCAACTGTAAATTTGGAGCTCACTTACGCATCCATATTTTACCCATTGATATCAGTCCGTGCTTTATAGTAGATAGCGAATATAGCACTATCATCAACTCCAGTCATAGACTATCAGCATAATGTAGCTGTAAATTAAATAATGAATTAGTACACACCTTAATTAGTACTCATATACTTAAGACTCATTAAAGAAAGTAGTCATCTAATCAGAACTAATTAATCTGAGTATTGAAAACTCCTCAAGCACAAAGCTAGGTGGTACTGAAATTCATCATGAATGCCTATCGGATACGACTATGCATAGGTCATCAAGGCCTATGCTATGGAGGTACCCCTAAGAGCTGTACAGCCCACGCTGAGGTTTATGAGCCGTTCATATTAGCGCGAGCATTTCCACACTGTTTGATACCGGTTGGCTATCGGTCCGACGGGTCAAGTGCAAGAAAACCGTTTTCTTGTCTATTTTAAGGAGAAAACATACTATTGTTCGTGTCATATGAAAGAGGACTCTTGATAACCTATGCTTCTGTCCGAACAACCCAATGTTCTCTCCTTAGAATAGAAGAAAAAAACTGTACTGAAATCTGATTGGTCGTGCTATCAGCCAATCAGATTTCAGTACAGTTTTTTTTCGCTTATTCTAAGGACAGAACATGGGTTTGGTCGGGTCAGATGAAAGAGGACCCTTGATAACCTACAGCTCCGCCCGAACAGCCCCATGTTTTGTCCTGCGAATAAGCGAAAAAACAGCCCTGAAATCTGATTGGTCCAACTATCAGCCAATCAGATTCCAGTACCGCTTTTTTCTCTTACTTTAATGGCAGAACATAGGGTTGTTCCGGGCGATCTATAAGTTATCGAGGATTCTCTTTCGTACGGTCCGAACAATAGTAGATTCTGTCCTTCAAATAGAGAAGAAAACGGCTTGTTCCAACCTGATTAGTCGTTAGCTAACGGGTGTCAACCAGTGAAGAAACACAAGTTCATATGAGCTGTCGTGAGCATGAACTGTAAAGCCCTACTATGTGTACTGCTATAGGATAATCGCTGAGTGCTTATGGGTACCCCTAAAAGATAGGGTTCGAGAACTTATGGGTACCTCTCAATGGCGTAGCCTTTTACGGCCTATGGGTGTTCCCATATTGTAGCCCCTGAGCTAATTTGGGTGCTCCCATATTAGACGCCATGAGTACCTGTGAGTATGTCCATAGGAGAGCTTTGAGAATTTATGATTACTCATCTTGATTAATGCTAATTAAATGAGTATCTGCTTTAATTAGTTCAATTGAGATTAGTACTAATTTCAGTGAGTACTAAAGATGGTGGGTACTAATTAGGGTGAGTATTACCCAAGCAGACAAAAGTTTCGAAGAACGCGTTTAAACTCACAATAGGGAACCGCAACTATGATGCATTCACGCTCATTAAAACAACGCAAGAAACGACGTTTTTGTACAAAATAGTCACTTTTCAAGCGCGAAAACGGTGGAAAACTTAAATTTCTAGTGTTAAAACGTTCGCTTTTTCTAGATTCAAAAAACGATGTGTTTAAACGCTCAGTTTTTGATATTTTAGCCTTTTTTACGCTTGAAAATTGACTATATTGCACAAAAAACGTCGTTTCTTGAGTTTTTGTAATGAGCGTGAATGGATCAAAGTCGCGGTTCCCGATTGTGCGTTTAAACGCGTTTTTTGAGGGTGTGGGTGTGGGTGTGCGTGTGGGGTGTGGGGTGTGGAGGGGGTGGGTGTGGGGGTGGGGGGGGGTGTGGGTGGGGTTGTGGGTGAGTTTTATTGAAAGAAGAACAACCACAACTACATCGAAACTCGCACCCACCCACATCCCACACCCACACAGACACCCTCCAGATNTTGAATTTGTTGATTCACCATCATCTTTCGAACGTACACCGCTAAATATTTTTTTTAAAGAAAAAAAAATAATTTATTTATTTTAAAAACTCTTAGAAAATATACCTTTTTATTTAAATCAGAAGAACATCTTTTGGTGTTATGATTTCCAACAACAATGCCATAAACTAATCGTTCACGTTCCAACCGAAATATAATTATTTCATTGTAAAAATAGAAATGAATGATGAGCTCATACTTGAGTATTGCGTGCGTGTTCGTCGTTTGCCTCGTGTGCTCACAAATGAATATACAAGAGAGAGAAAAATGAAAAAAAATATAGCTCAAGACGGCAATCTTTTTTTATCTCTTCTTCTCTCGCCCGCAACTTATCGTACATGTTACCATTGATGATCAATGATAACATGACATAATTAATGTCCTTTTAGCGTATAAATATGTATGATTTTCTATGTAAAATCATTCAATTTATTGAACCATATAATAATCTTTTTCTTTTCTATTTTAGAACGATTGCAACAACATGATATGGAACAATTCAACATCGACCACGACCATAAAATAGTATGTAGGTATTAGTTTTAATTTTTGTTTTCTTTTCTTTTATATCATATGGAGGGTGGTAAGTCCTTCTATGATATTTTTTAATAATTCATTTTTTTTCTTGTCTTTTTAGTCCTCAATATCATTGCATCACGTCATCGTTAACAGGGTAAGTTTTTTTGTTTTTTTTTTGAATATGAGAATAGGGTGAGTCATGTCCATTGAGGTTAGGTTCGCGTTATATGAAGGACTTCCGGGTAGTCCCTAAAGCTCAGCCAGGAACTGCTTTGGTGTCCGTGGCACATGGCATCGGATGGGTGCATGCGGATGACGTGGGTCTTCCCACGCGTGCATGAGCCTTACGATCGCCACGGCTCCACCAGAATAGTTCCTGACCGTGCACTCGAGCGAATAGAATAAGCATTGCTTTCATCAATTCAACGTGAATTTATTTGAAAGGAAAAAAAAACCATCGTGTTAAGTTTATTCGATTGAAAATCGTTGAACACGATGATTGTTATAATCAACAACATAGAGATTGCCTTGCCGATCGAAGGACAAACCAATGGGAAAATTGAACTGTTTTGCTCCTTCTCCGTAACCATTTCCACCCACAATGACAGTGCCTTGTGTCACTTCTTTAGGCCAACACATCACTCGATGATTCGACGAGTCTGCCACATAGATGGTACCCAACATATCGACGAACAGTCCATTAGGATACTTCAGCTGTGTCAGAGTATTCCCATAGCCTTGACCTCCAGCGACGACAATTCCTTCTTTTGCACCTTTATTCCATTTCATTACACGATGATTATTCCAGTCTGACACGTAGACAGTCTGTTGTTGATCGACAAAGATGCAGGTCGGATAGTCGAGTTGATTGAGACCAGCACTTTGGCCATTGCCACCAGCCACGAGAGTTCCATTCTTGTCTCCTATTTGATATCGTCTTACTTCATTTTTTCCATAGTCAGAGATGTAGAGATATCTCTGATTATCCATGGCCAATCCCGAACAATAGATGTTGTCGATGAGGATTTCTCCTTGAGTTGTGCCACTGCGACGAGACCATTGTACGACTCGTCCATTTCCCGAATCACAGATAATGATACTATCGGTTTCTTTGTGGATCAGCACATCGGTTGGATCATTCAATTGATCCAATTGTTTTCCGCTGCCTTTGCCACCAGCTACCACTTGTCCATTCGTATTACCCATTTTCCATTGGATGATACGATGATTGTAGCGGTCAGCGATGACAATCGTTTGATCATCATCAACGAAGAGACCCCAAGGCCAGTGAAGTTGATTGGTGGCACTGCCCTGTCCATGGCCTCCAGCAACGGTCACTCCATTCTGTGCCCATCGGGCATCGGCTGGAATATTGGGGATAACTAGAATGAACGAGAAAAAGAATCGTTGTCTATTAATAAAATACTCTTTTTCTTCGCAGAGAACTTAGTAAAATTTTCGAGAATGTCTTTCTCTAACATACTCTAAACAAGAAAAGGTTCTTCTAGTTTTATATGCAACAAAAAAATAACTTGGTAACGATTCTTATGAGAATCCTTTGGGATTCCTGGAACGAGTTTTTTTCGAGAAGAAGCATTTCTGAAATACTGAGAAGAGTAAAGCTAATATTATGAAAGCTTCAATAGTTCTAAGATTTATATAACGAACTGTTGGCATGATTCTAAGCAATGCAATAATGAAGTGAGTCAGATTGCTAAAATCGAACAAAAAACTGAGAAGATTCTACCTGGATTTTGACTCTTGGTTCGAAGAACGTATTGATCATATGATTTTAAGATTCTTTCTAAGGAGGTTCCTGAGAGGATTGTAGCAACGTACACTAAAGACAAGGAATATCCGGAAGTTATTGAGAAGAGAGTAAGGAGGTCGGTAAGAAAACATAGGGTCTACGGATTTCATGCGTAATTTATGAAAGCATGCATCGTTATAGGTTATATAAAAGTGCAGAAGCGCAGTGAACTCCGACGCTTAGGAATTGGTAATATTTCGCTTGGATTTGGTCTCATCGACCCAAATCCTAACGGATGTGGGTGTGTGTGGGGTACGAGTATGGGTGAGTGGGTGTGAAGTGTGGGTGTGGTAGTGATATCGTAGTATAGCCATCCACACCCACATCCTTGTAATAAATGACTTATTAGTTTGATATTGGTCTTTAGGAGCGTATATAAAATTTTAAACGCAAAAGAATTTTAAATTTGATATTCATTGCTATGCCAAGAAAATTCATCTCATAAGTCATTTGTTACAATATGGTTACAAGATTGACATATGCCAAATTTTAATTAGATGCGCGAAAGATCTTTTGGAAATCTTCATACTAGTGGATTCTAACATGTTTATCAATTAAGACTAATGCGAACTCAACATCACTACATAAAACTAAACGTCGTCAAATGCAGCGTCGTGGACGTACTTCCTCTGTTTTAAATATAAGTACCATCACGACTAGAATGACAATCAGTCTTTTTACCCGTTTTTTGCTCACTTCGGTATAAGTGTTCAATGTTACTACCATTTTCTAAGAAAATGACTTATTAATTTGATTTTGACCTATAAGAACAATGTTTTGATTTGTGATAGAAGCTTATTGAAAGTTTTCTTTTTTTTTCGTATATGGATAACAGAAAAAATACTACTGTTAAGTTATATTTTTGGTCTCACTAAAGAAGCTTTTATCTATTATCAAGTAAGAAAAATACATATGAAGCGTTCTATCGATAATTTTCAGCTGTCATCGAAGAGAACAAGAAGAAGAAGCAGTGAAAACGAGCAATAGTTTCCAATCACTGACTTTTAAACTAACTAACTAACTAGTTCAGAAAATTTGTTCTATTCACTTCAACATAGTATCATTTAGAAAGTTCATTTTGATTTTTTATTCTTATTCTGCTAGATAACAGGTGAAATTGTTTTCATGATACGAACAATGATACTTGATAGTAATATTTGTTTGCATTATCTGTATAAAAAGCAAGTTTGAATAAACTTATACTGCTAAGAAAAAACTCAGTTCATTTGATTGAACCGACTGAGATATATGTCATTTTTTTATCCTAGTGCTATTTATTGTCCATCCAATACATATCAAATTTAAAACTCACAAAAAAAAATTTTTATTTGATATGCATTCTCACAGATCAATATTAAAGTAATAAGTCATTTAGTTACAAGATGATAATAAGATTGACATAACCAAAAATTCATTTAAATTATACTCTCAGTGACCGAGATCTATGAAATATGATTATTTTCTCTCTAAAGAGGTACTCAATTCAAAAGCCTAACATTTATTAATATATAAAGATAAATGATAAAAATTATCTTGCCTTTAAGAAGCTCGCCTAACTATTGCTTGTTATTATGTAAAAGTAACATACGTATACATAAAGATTGTTTCATAGATTTCAAGCCATTTTGAATTCTATATGCTAAAATATATTTATCAAAGTTTTTTGATAGGATGAGAGAAATATTAATTGCACACACACAATGTGGCTCATTTGTATCGTTCTAAAGTTCATGGAGCCCAAAGCTAAAAAGAAGTTTCGACTTTGTTTTTTTTACATGATTAAGATAAAAATATAATAAAAAAATAAATGTGGAAATCTCGGACTTAAGTCCGAGAGTTATGTGTACTTCAAAAAGTGAATGACACAAATCAGTGATCCCAGAATGCGTGGATATACAAATTAGCTTGGCGAAGTTTTTGTAT